GCGCGCCCGCAGGCGGGTCGAAATGTGTCGCCCAGTTGGGGCTGCGGTTGCGCGCCCGCGGACGGGTCGAAATGTGTCGCCCAATTGGGGTTGCGCGCCCGCGGGCGGTTTGAAATGTGTTGTTCATGGTGCCCTCCTGACGTTCAGTCAGACAATCTGTCAATCAATCAGTCAATCAATCAGTCAGTCAGTCAGTCGGTCACCGGCGGGCACGGAATTTCACCCGGCTCCGCCGGGAATACATGCACACAAATAACAGGATTCCCCATATGTTCCCATAGTTCCTGGGTTTGTGTCTTCCCCACCACTTCCCATGTTTTCCTATATTTCCTGGGAGTCGACGGTCAGGTGTGTCCGTGTGTTTTTCCCCCTCCTGAAAACTGTTCTCGGCTGTGCGAGTGGAGGGCGAGCCCTTCCTAGAGCGGCTGGGGCACCGTGCTGCTCACTTCGGGCCCGAGGGCTTCCTGGCACGCGCGCGTTCTACGAGGCCCCGCCCGGGGCATTTGCTTGCTCTTCGCAGGCGCTCGGGCGCCCAGAGGGGTAGACAAGGAAGCCTTGGATATGGCATCCGGGGCCTGGAAGCCGGTAGGGCTCCAACATCGTGGCTCGGCCATGGACATGACTGCCGCCCTCCCCACACGAAGCATCCTCCAGGGCTTGCCGCCTCCTGGGCGCATCCCTTGACGAAGGCCCCCACCGTCTCGGGGTCTCCCCTTGGCCTCGCGCACGTTCGAAGACAACGTCCACCATCCACACTCGCTTCACCCTTCCTCGACCTCTACGACCCGGCGTTCCAGCCCGTGCAACAGCTGTCACGGATAGCTGGCGGCTCCTTCCTTCCGAAGCATACGTCCACGAACTTGACATCCTGCAACGCCCTGATGGATGGAGGGCATGTTCTTTTCAGTATCCCGGCAAAGCAACCTAACAGCGATGTGTAAAAGCAGATCTGGAAGCATTCCCCTTAAGATTCAGAAGAGAATCCAGTTGTAGAATTCTGCTGTTCTCTAAATCGCAGTCACATTCGCGATGACAGTCGCAGTGACAACGGCAGTCGCAGTCACAGCCTCAGCCTCAGCCTGCCTCAGCATCAGCCTGCCTCAGCCTCAGCCTCAGCCTGCCTCAGCCTCAGCCTCAGCCTGCTTCAGCCTCAGCCTCAGTCTGCCTTCAGCCTCGGCCTCAGCCTCAGCCTGCCTCAGCCTCAGCCTGCCTCCTCAGCATCAGCCTCAGCCGCCTCAGCCTCAGCCTGCCTCAGCCTCAGCCTGTTCAGCCTCAGCCTCAGCCTGCTTCAGCCTCAGCCTCAGTCTGCCTTCAGCCTCGGCCTCAGCCTCAGCCTGCCTCAGCCTCAGGGCCTGCCTCAGCCTCAGCCTGCATCAGCCTCAGCCTCAGCCTCAGCCTGCCTCAGCATCAGCCTGGCCTCAGCGTACTTGCCTCAAGAGCACCCGAGTCCTGCCCAAGCCTCAGCCTCAGTTTTACCTCAGCCTCAGCCTCGACTGCCTCAGCCCTCCAAAGCCTCAGCATGCCATCAGCCCTCCAGCCCAGCCTCAGCCTGCCCCCAGAGCCTCAGCATCAGCCTGCATCAGCCTCAGCCTCAGCCTCAGCCTGCCTCAGCATCAGCCTACCTCAGCCTCAGCCTCAGCCTCAGCCTGCCTCAGCCTCAGCCTCAGCCTGCTTCAGCCTCAGCATCAGTCTGCCTTCAGCCTCGGCCTCAGCCTCAGCCTGCCTCAGCCTCACCCTGCATCAGCCTCAGCCTCAGCCTCAGCCTGCTCAGCATCAGCCTGCCTCAGCCTCAGCCTCAGCCTGCCTCAGCCTCAGCCTCAGCCTCAGGCTCAGCGTCCAGCCTCAGCCTCAGCCTCAGCCTCAGCCTGCCTCAGCCTCAGCCTGCCCTCAGCCTCAGGCCTCAGCCTGCCCCGCACTCAGCCGCCTCAGCCTCAGCCTCAGCTGCCCGGCCTCAGCCTCAGACTTGAGGCCTCAGCGCAGCTCAGACATCTTCAGGCCTCGTGCCTCAGCTCGAGCTGCCTCAGCCTCAGCTCAGCCTGCCTCACCTGAACCTCAGCCTGCTTCAGCCTCAGGCCTCAGCCTGCATCAGCCTTAGGCCTCAGCCTGCGCCTGCCTCAGCCTCGCCGGCCTCAGCCCTTCAGCTCAGCCTGCTCAGCCTGCCTCAGCCTCAGCCTCAGCCTCAGCCTGCCTCAGCCTCAGCCTGCCTTCAGCCTCGGCCTCGGCCTCAGCCTCAACCTGAGCCTCAGCCTGTCTCAGCATCGGCCTGCCTCAGCCTAAGCCTCAGCCTGCCTCAGCCTCAGCCTGCCTCAGCCTCAGCCTCAGCCTGCCTCAGCCTCAGCCTGAGCCCCAGTCTGCTTCAGCCTCAGCCTCAGTCTGCCTTCAGCCTCGGCCTCAGCCTCAGCCTGCCTTCAGCCTCGGCCTCAGCCTCAGCCTGCCTCAGCCTCAGCCTCAGCCTCAGCCTGAGCCTCAGCCTCGGCCTCAGCCTCAGCCTGCCTCAGCCTCAGCCTCAGCCTCAGCCTGCCTCAGCCTCAGCCTGCTTCAGCGTCCTGCCTGTAGCCCTGCCTCAGCCTCAGCCTCAGCCTCAGCCTCAGCCTCAGCCTAAGCCTCAGCCTAAGCCTCAGCCTCAGCCTGCCTCAGCATCAGCCTGCCTCAGCCTCAGCCTCTGCCTGCCTCATCATCAGCCTGCCTTAGCCTCAGCCTCAGCCTGCCTCAGCCTCAGCCTCAGCCTGCTTCAGCGTCTGCCTTAGCCTGCCTCAGCCTCAGCCTCAGCCTCAGCCTGCCTCAGCCTCAGCCTCAGCCTGCTTCAGCCTCAGCCTCAGCCTGCCTCAGCCTCAGCCTCAGCCTGCCTCAGCCTCAGCCCCAGCCTCAGCATCAGCCTCAGTCTGCCTTCAGCCTCGGCCTCAGCCTCAGCCTGCCTCAGCCTCAGCCTCAGCCTCAACCTGAGCCTCAGCCTAAGCCTGCCTCAGCATCAGCCTGCCTCAGCCTCAGCATCAGCCTGCCTCAGCCCCAGCCTCAGCCTGCTTCAGCCTCAGCCCTCAGCCTCAGTCTGCCTTCAGCCTCGGCCTCAGCCTCAGCCTGCCTCAGCCTCAGCCTGCATAGCATCAGCCTCAGCCTCAGCCTGCCTCAGCATCAGCCTCCCTCAGCCTCAGCCTCAGCCTGCCTCAGCCTCAGTCCTGCCTTCAGCCTCAGCCTCAGCCTCAGCCTGCCTCAGCATCAGCCTGCCTCAGCCTCAGCCTCAGCCTGCCTCAGCCTCAGCCTCAGCTGCTTCAGCCTCAGCCTCAGTCTGCCTTCAGCCTCGGCCTCAGCCTCAGCCTGCCTCATCCTCAGCCTGCCTCAGCCTCAGCATCAGCCTGCCTCAACATTCAAAATGTGGCCCGGGAATGGAGTTCTGGGAACTCGAAGAACACGAAGTGGCCTACAGTTGGCTCCGGGCATTCAAAATCATGCCCAGGAATGGAGTTCTGGGAACTCGAAGACCACGAAGTGGCCTACAGGTGGCTCCGGGCATTCAAAATCATGCCCAGGAATGGAGTTCTGGGAACTCGAAGACCACGAAATGGCCTACAGTTGGCTCCGGGCATTCAAAATCATGCCCAGGAATGGAGCTCTGGGAACTCGAAGACCACAAAGTGGCCTACAGTTGGCTCCGGGCATTCAAAATCATGCCCATGAATGGAGCTCTGGGAACTCGAAGACCACGAAATGCGTTACCGTTTGCTAAAAAAGGAGTCCCCGGATTCCCGCGGCAGTCCCCGGATTCCCGCGGCACCCGTCCGGCATCTGCCCAGACCCCCCTGGGGAGTCATGATGTTCTCCTTTGAGACCACCAGAAACCTATCAGTCTTCGCTGTTAGGTAAAAAGGAGGCTATTCCTGTGCCTCCTTGCAGGGCTCCTCCCGCGATTTTGACATCCTGTAGCGATTAGGAGGATGAAGGGCACGCGCTTCTCGAAATTGGACCACCCGGTGCGTCCATCAAGTGCTCCCTCGTCCCACTGGCGGACCGACTAGCGGCTCGTTGTTCAAGGGGAGGCGCCCGCAGGGGAATGGAAGTTTTGTGTGGACTATTAAGAAATGACTTGGGACTGGAGGGTGTTTTCCAGCATCGGTTGATGCATCTTGGCTTTGCTCTGGTCCTCCTCCTCCTCTTCCTCCTCCTCGTCTCCCTCTTCGTCCTCTGTCCTCCTTGTCCCCCTCCTCATCCCCCTTCTCCTCCTCCGCCTCCCCCCTGGACGCACGAACAAACAATACAACACCAAACACCTTGACTCCCGAACCCAACTTTCAACCGACCGACATGTACCGCCAGAGCATCAAGGTCCGCCGCTTCGGAGCCGGGCCTGGGGCCTCGAGAGCCTCTCTGCTCTCCTGCCTCACTTCTCCCTGGTCTCTCTCTCTCTCTCTCTCTCTCTCTCCCTCTCTCTCGCTCTCATTTTTTTCATTTTGGCGCGGCGCAAGCAGCCCGAACTGCAGCCCTTGGTGCTCTAGGACTGAGAAAGGAGCCTCGCCACTTCCTTCGATGCTTCGTCGAGGGCGATGGCTTCGGCACCAAAAACACTGCACGGTGGGTCAAGAAACGTACCGTGGACCATGACAGGCTCAATCACATGACCGCTCTCGCCCTCTCTCCATCTTTCTCTGTTTCCATGGGCGCCATCGTGTGACTGCCGCGGAAGCCGCACCACCCTCGCAACAGACCAGCGGTTTGCAGGTGGGTGATCGCCAGCCAGTGGCAGAATGAGCCGAGGCCTGGCTGATGACGGACGGATCGGGTGAGGAGGGAGCCAACTAGGATGTATGAGAGACACTTGCAGTTGGTCCCCTGCGTGACTCATCCTCTGTTTCTCTCTCTCTCTCTCTTTCTCTCTCAGTGCTCCATTGGCGCAGTCGTGTGATTGCCGCACCAGTTCGAAACCGATGGTAATCAGAGAAACCCGCCCTCGGATATCCCCTAGGCAGGCCTCCAACTCTAGCTCCGAAGCCACCGCCCTCGCAAACGACTCAATTCTCGAGGCCAGCGGCTCCTCCACTCCCCGCGGCGCACGCCGCTGCGAGGCGGTCGACGCCGCGCATGTCCAGCTGAGCCCTGCCCCGAAGTGCATCGAAGGATTCCCGGGGCGGTGCCGGCATTACTGCCACGAGGCCCAAGCAACCGCGAGCCCAGCCGCCTGGCTGGGGGCAACCGCCGCTGGGACTGCTGCAGATGTGCCTCTTCGCGCGAATACGGCGTGCGAGGACCTGCACAGCACGCTGGAATTGGAGTGGATGCGCGGGGCGTCTCACCTCCAGCACCAGTGGGGATGCCAGCGGGGCACGCTGCTGACAAGCCATGGCCCCACTGCGGTCCACAGCACCGCAGACTGTCCCTGGAGAATTGCGCCAGGCTCGGCAAACGCGTAGAGTTCCACTTGCCCGCCGAGGCTCGCAGAATCAGGGTAGGTCACTGTAGGACAGCTCCCCGAAACACAGCGAGACTAGCCATCGAGCTCTGGAGGCACTCCTTGTGGGATCGAGAACTCCAGAACCCGCTATCATCGGAACGACCGCGTGCAACTCGATGCAGCATGTCGGAACGGCGTGGCCCTCCCCCAATAGAAGGGAGCCCAGGGACACACACACACACACACACACGCACATAAATACACACGAATAACAGGAATCCTTATATGTTTACAATATGTTCGAAGTTGTTGTCTTCCCCCCCACTTCCCATATTTTCCTGGAACTCGATTATGAATTGTGTCTGTGTGTTTCTTTCCCTCCTGACAATAGCTAATGAGGCCTGGGAATGCCGAACTATGGATCCAGAACCGATCACAAAAGCTCAGGGCGCCCTCACCTGCCAAGGCACAACAACGCACATCGAATGCAGCTCGGTGCGACAACGCGTGGGACAGCACAACTGTCTGGGCAAGAATCCAGCCGCTTCGGGTTCAGGAGGCAAATTGGCAATGCTGCCAGTCACGTGCACAAGAAATCAAAATGCACCCAAAAGGAATCCACGGTCTCGCGGCCGACCGCCTAAGAGTCGACAAGGCAAGGACGGCTGGATGAGATCCCATGGCTACTGCCACAATCTACAGTCTCCGAATCACGCGGTTTGCAAGCACCGTCGCCACAAAGAAAGCGATGCACCGCCACATCGAGTACGCCTGGGCAGGTCAGAGCCGCCCAGCAGAGAGCCAGCCCCATGGCAACATCAAACCTGCGGTCCCCGGCTGCCTCCTCGGGACCGGATCCCCCCCCCACCCCCGAGCCGCAGGCACACGCGCATGCCGGCCTCCGCGGCGGCGCGGGCGCGTCGCCACGAGACGAGGCATTCGAACCTGCAGAATGGTGGGCGCGGCGGCCTCCGCCGGCGTCCCCGCCTGGTGCCCCCAGACCCACGCGACTACGGCGCGAAGCTATAGCAGGGACCGACCGTCCCGGCATTCCTATGGTCCTACCACGAAATGCTCTTAAAGCCGAAAAATGTTCGAAAAACAAAAACACTGCTCTTAGAACATACGCCCGATGTGTTAAAACAAAACCATCTCAAGCAGAACTGTTCTGAGAACCTTTCGTGGAAACCACAAAGGGCTCTTAGAACATTGTTTGTAGGGCTATAGGCGAGCCAGGACGCGAACCTGCAGAATGGTGGACACGGCAGCCTCCGCCGGCGTCCCCGCTCGGTGCCCCCAGGCCCACGCGACTACAGCCAACCCGTAGAATGAGGATGCGCGACAAGGATGCCAGGGCCTTGGACGCCCATTTCGAGGCGTTTCGAGCGGGGCGCGGCCAACGAAAGTGTCCAATGATGGGCCCAGGAAGCAAGGATGCGAGGGTACCCTTTTGGAGGGATGCCTACTCCAGATTTCGTAATAAAAGGGAGGGGGTCTGGACCCTCCAAGACAAGCCATTTCAGACCTCCCCCGTGGGAGAACCATCCAAAACATCGTCCCCAGACCCCCCAGGCTCTCCAAGATAGCCTGGAAGAGACCCCCCCCGAAATGAGACCCCCCTCCCTTTATTACGAAATCTGGGGTACCCCTTGGGAGGGATGCTCATCCTTCCTCTTCGGGTCGACCGCACGGCGCGAAGCGACCGCCGCTGCGAGGCCACCGCCGCGGCGAGGCACGCCGCCCCGCGGCGCCGCCAACGGAGCCGGGCGGCGCGGCGGCCTCTGGGCCCGCCGGAGGAGCGCGCCCCGCGGGCCGCCGCCGTGCTGCTGTGCGCCACCCCCTTCGGCTGTGCACGCGGGAGCGTGCCCCTGGGCTTACGTCGGGCGTGTCCCCCTACAGGGGGGATTTGCGACGAAAAATAAAAAATACGAAACCAATGCCTCAAAATGGCAAAAAAATACTCAGAAAATTGTCCCCAGAGCATTTTTCAAACCATTTTTGAATATTCCCCCTGTAGAGGGGCAGGCCCGACTTCACCCTGGGCAGGAGCGGCGTCTGGTCCCAGACCCCCTCGGGCAGTGACAAAATCACGACGGGAGGTCCTTCCTCGCTGTCTCGGGCCATGCGAAAGGGGGGGATTGCACGGCGGGGGGGGGTTTTGAGAACCAGCTCACGTAGCTGATTTTCCCGGCGCCTCCTGGCGCCGGGATGCGCCCATGTATCGAGGAATGGGCCCCTCGGTGGGGCCGAAACCAGCTGCATGCAGCAGATTCCGTAACCCCCCCGTTCCCAATCCCCCCCTTTCGTCCGGCCCGACTTTCGACCTCTGGAGGCCCCTCCCGGCCCTCGGGGCCGTCAGAAAACGACCCAGGACGAGGAACCGGTCCTGGGGAATGGGTCGAGACCTCGGGGGTGGACGCCATGACAGAAATCAACGAGGGGTCTGGGGTTGAGGGGCAACGATAGGGGGGTACTGGCATAGTGGGGGAAACATCGACCTGGAATCGGCGATACATCGCCGATAGATCGGCGATGGGCCCCCGATGGTGAATCCGCACGCTCCTGGGCAGACTGGGGCTATCGGGCCCCTATCTGCGATCCATGGGCGATCGGGGGTCGATGCATCCCCCCCCTATGCCTATCCCCCCCTATCGCTGCCCCTGGGGGGTACGCGGCTTCAGGGGGCCGCGGGGGATGCCAACTCAGCGCAGCCCCGGCGCGCCGGCTGGCCAGTGCCGGCGGGACGCCCGTGGGCCCGCACGCAGAAGGCCACTCCGACGAAGGGCCGCTCTCACGCGCAGCCGACTCCTGTGCTGGCCGAGGCGCCGAGTCCGCCGGCCAAGGGTGCGAGGACGGCCCAGCGCGAGCAGCCTGAGCCCCAACTGGCTTGGGCAGCCCTCGGCAGCCCGAGTATAGAGGGGTGGCGGACGGCGGTCGGGGCGGGCGAGGAGGGAGCCAGGCAGGATGCCCGAGGGGCACTTGCGTGGACATCTTTACGCCACGGAGGGCGGGAAGAGGCCCACGCACGTTTCGGGTCGTGCGAAAGGGGGGGATAGCAAAGGGGGCGTTTGAGAATCAGCTCACGTAGCTGATTTTCCCGGCGCCCCCCGGCGCCGGAAGGCAGCTATGTATCGAGGAATGGGCCCCTCGGTGGGGCCGACACCAGCTGCATGCAGCAGATTTCGTACCCCCCCTTTCCCAATCCCCCCCTTTCGTCCGGCCCGAACATTGCCCCCATCGGATCCGGGCCAAGTCTTCACCAGTTGTGGATTTGAACGCTCTCTTAGAAGAAGAAACAGGCATCACCATACACTGTTGGAACTCCGCCAACTACTCTGGTTGATATCGTGCTTTCTTCCTCGATCCACCGCCACGCCCTGGACCCTGCCATGGGGGCGTTCTGGCCAGAATCTCGAGCCGAACCCGGCGGATACTACGAGGGCCTGCCAGGAGGCCCACAATGGCGAAGACGAGGCCCAAAATGGCGAAAACGAGTGCCGATACATGTGATCAGAACGTTAGCCGGGTCTGTCGCACAGCCAGGGCAATGATAAGTCCAACAGGTTTTTTTCATTTAGGCGATCCGACTTGGTCTCCTAGCAGACTAACTATGCCAGGTGGCGCAATCAATTCCTGGCTACATATACCTTTTCCTCCTCTGACCCTCCGCGTGACACGCCCACCCGTCGAGCAGACGAGGGCGACGGCGGCGGCGCAGACGACGGCGGCGACGAACGCGGCGCTCCTCCACCGCCCGCGCGACGGCGACCTCGTGGAGGCCGGCGCCGAGGTCGAACGCAGCCCAGCAGGCCAAGGGCGCCTCCTGACTCCCAGGCCGGCCGACAGGGGGCGGAGGAGGAAGGGGAGAAAGGCGGACGACGAGCAGGGAGGAGAAAGTATACCGATACCGCTACCCTTGCCTTGTCGTCGCCTTTTTGGGCCGCCTGGCCATGCTTCGTCGCAACCGCTTGTAGTCAGACCGCCCCCCGGAACCCCTGGCATACCGCGCTGGGACCCCCCGGGCGGGGTCTAGGGCGTAGCGGTGGATCGGGGAAGAAAACGCGGCATCAACAGACACTTTTGCAGCTCCGTGCCAATTGCCTGAATCGGCGCTGGGCCCCCTCCTTGGCGCGCGGAGCGTGCCAACGGTGGTGCTGGAGCCGCCGCCAGGGGGTCCCAGCGCAAATCGAAGGAATCCGCGCGCAGCTCCGAAACCTCATGAGCATACCAATATTCCTGGTTCGAGAAAAGGAGGAAGGAGGAAGAGAATGAGGGAGCAGGAGGAGGAGGACAGGGAGGAGGAGGAGAAGGAGGAGGAGGAGGAAGAGAAAGAGGAGGAGGAGGAGGAGGAGGAGGAGGAGGAGGAGGAGGAGGAGGAGAAGGAATAGAGGAGGAGGAGGAGGAGGAGGAGGAGAGGAGGAGGGAGAGGGAGGGGTTGATGATGCGACGCGCGGCTTCGCTGGGTGTGTGCTCGATGGTGCGTGGGCGGGCGGCACTGCAACCGCTCTGTAGCCGAAGGTGCCATCGCTCGGACTTCCATTACCCGTGCATTGTGCGATGTGGCGGGCTTATTTTTCGCACGATGATCCAAGATGCTCCTCGATGGTCCTCCCCGAGAAAAAAGGCACACGTCCGAGCGATGCCGAGCGAAGGGGCACAGTGCCACCGCCATTGGCAGTGGAATCGAAAATTGGAGAATGGGGCGAGAGCTTCAGAGATCCGGCGCTCCAACAGGCGGTTTTTGGTAATTTTCGGCCTCGTCGGGCCTCGGGAGCGTCAACAAACGACTCGGGATGCAAAGCCAGCCCTAGGGAAATGGTCCAGACCACTGGGGCACACGCATCGAACAAATTGGAGCAACCGGATGAGTGGGGCCCGGAGAGACAGACAGCAAGATCGCCGAAGGCACGAATCAGAGACACACCGGGCTGGTCAGTGTTACACACCGCTGCGGTCTCGAGACGAGCGTGCAGGAGGCGGCAGGCGCCCAAACGGAAGCGCGCATAGAGAAAGCCCGACCGCATGCTCAGGAATATGATACGCGACAATGGACTGGACCTCGGGCTGGGGGACATACAGAAAGCATTCTTGAAAGGCGTATCGCGCACGCGACAGGCAGGGGCTGCTCTGAGAGCGCTGGCGTCAGCCAGGCGAAGCAGTGCGTCCAAACAATCGCTCAAAGCAACTGCAGAGGGGGGGGGGGGGCCGCCCTGGGCGGAGCGGGGGCCCTGGGGTAAACAGCAGAAGCGGCGGGGGCGACCATCGACGAGGAAGGGGAAGCCGTGCCGTGCGACGCCACTCACAAGGTGCCGAAGACCTGCATGACTGATGCCCCTGCAGAGAGCATCACGGAAACACCAAATGCAATGCAAGTGTGGGCAGTCATCACTGAGCCATGAGACACGGGCACGAGTGTACCATCGAGGGGCACCGACTACGCGAACACTGGTTGCGCGCGGGTAGCACAATCAAGTCCCCAGAATAAACAACGAATACAAGGCGAAGGGGGGACAGAGGGGAACCAGGCGGGTACGCGCGCCTAACCGGAAGGCAGGATTGGGCTGCAGAGGTGACCGACGCACCATGTACATCAGTACACGCAAGCATAATAAATGGCGTGAGGGAGGCGAACACGCTGCCGAATAGTCACGAGGGCACTGCCTGAGTGAGTAAATGGCTCCGACAATAACTGACTGAAGGCTGCGCACAAGAGAACACGGCGGTGTCAGAGCGATGAGCGCGGGTTGGGCGTCCAAAGAAGACAGCCAACAAGCAAAGCACTTGGGCAGACCTACATCACTGCAGGTTACTGCTGCAAAGTAGCGCGATGACTCAGGGTCAAGTATGCGAAGATAGGCTTGCACAGACCAGCAGTGAGGTCAACGGGCTTTGCTGTCAGGTTTTGGAAAAATGTAGCGGGAATCCTGGGTTCTGCGATCTAGCCGAAGCGTCACAGCATCCATCTCTGATGGGTTCTCAATCCAGCAAGCACGGCACCCGTTCCTGATACTCGCTCCGCACATCTTAGCACTGCGCCAACGTCTATGGTCCGTGATGTGCTTGCAAATGCGGCCCGATGCCACCTGGGAGCTCATCTGATAGAGTGAAGCCACCCACTGCTCGCACGCATAGCGGGCCAAGACCCCGTCCTGCACACTTTGCAAGCAAATGGCTGCACCTTGCTACAACTCTCAAACTCCTTCTGCTGCGGCTGCGGACTGGGCCCGGGACACGTGACGCACGGGCAAGGGAGGCCTCTCATGCCCTGGCAGCGCGCTGTGTTGCAAACCAGTCTCGTAGGGAAAGTCCAGCTCGTCTGGCCTGGCGGAGATTTGCATGAATGTCTCCGTCGCGCAGCCCCTGGTGAGCCTCCGCGTTTGCAGGATGCTCCTGTGACACCCAATTCCCTGGTCACGGGTAAGAGGCATCGCGCTTCTTTACGGAACGTCTGGGCTGTGCATCGGCGTAGCTACTAGACAACACAGCCTACATGTCCAACTGCTCTTGCTCCATGTCACCTGTACCAGCATATCGGCTCCACCCAAAGACCTCGGGGATCTGGAGCGCGAGGAGGAGGAGGAGGAGGAGGAGGAGGAGGAGGAGGAGGAGGAGGAGGAGGGGGAAAATGGATGAGGAGGAGGACGACGACCAGAAGGACGACCACGAGGAGCAGGAGGAGGAGGAGGACGAGGGAGGAGGAGGGAGGAGCAGTAGGGAGGAGGAGAAAAGCGCCACCACGAGGAGTGAGGGAAGGCGATCTGGGGAAATCAAACGAGACGGCGGGGTAGGGGGGAGGGGGGGTGGGGGGGGGGGGGATCGAGCGTCGGGACGGGGGGGGGGAGGGGGGTGCCGGGGGGGAGGGGGGGGGGAGGGGCCGGGGTGAGCACGGGGGCGAGGTGTGGGTGGTGAGGTTGGGGGGGGGTGGGGTAGGCGATGGGTGAGCGTGGGATGGGGGGGGGGGGGAGCGGGTAGTGTGATGTGGGGGGGAGAGCGGTAGGTACGATGAAGAGGGGGAAAGGGGGAAGTACCGGGGAGGGGATGGGTGGGCGGTGAAAAGAGGGGGTCGCGGTGGGTAGGGGGTGGCGATGATAGGAGGGGGAGGGAGAGGTGGAGTGCGCGTAGGGGACGAGGCAGGAGTGCGAGGGGGCGGGGGGTGTGGCGGTGGTAGGGGGGGGTGTTTAGAGGGTGAGCGTGGGGGGGGGGGGAAGGGTGGGGGTAGTGATGGGTAGGGTGGGGGGGGAGGAGCCTGCTCGCTCGCCGCGGGGCCTTCGCGCGGTGCGCGCCGCTCCCTCGTTTCCGCAGGATGGGGGTGGCACCGCGGCTGCACGTGGCACTGAAATGAAGGGGAGAGGAGGGAGGATGCGGGGAGGGGGAGGGAGGATGAAACTGAGACGAAGAACGGAGGAGGAGGAGGAGGAGGCGGAAGAGGAGGAGGAGGAGTGGGACATGGTGTTTCAGTGACGGATGGGGGTGGAGGACGAGGATGGAAGGGGGGGGGGTCAGAGGAGAGAAGGATGGAAGGGCGTGTTGGAGCATGATCGGCAGATTTCTATGTTGTCTCCAGGTCCGCTTGTGTTCGAAGGCTTCGGGATGTGGACGATGCTGTGGAGGAGGCAAAAACGATGAAGGCGCTGATGGGCTGGGTTCAGTACTGGCCCCGACAGACCTGGGCAGGCAAAAGTGATAGATACCCATCGGTCGGAAGAATTTGGCAGAAACATGAAGTAGAAAGGCGTTGAAGGTAGATTATGTTCCGCCCGCTCCCCAAGGAGGACGGGAAAGGTGAAGCCACTCGATCATTGAAGTAGGAAGGCGCTTAAAGTAGATTGGAATCTGGGGATCCCAAAATGCCTACTTTCAACGACCGCGACCGATGGGCATGGATGCGAGGCCTAAACGTGTCGCATCTGGCCCGCCTGGGACGCCCTGCGTGGCACTCACCGAGCGGACGGGGGGGGGGCGCGCAGGGAGCATCTCGCTTCCTGGACAATGACAAGCACGGTCGGGCAGGCTGGGCACATACCTACGTAAGGGGTCTTGCAGGTCTCTCTACTTGGCGGCGCGCACACGGGGGTGGGGGGAGGGGGGAAGGCTTGTTAGAAGGAGGCCGCTTCTTAGAAGGCGTCGGCCTCACATCTACATACAAAGCCCGCGCCTTCTAAGAAGCAGGTGTGCTTCTAAGAAGCCCCCCCCTCCTCCTACACCCCCCTGCGCGTTGCCGATCTACGGGCGTCGGGGACAGCAGGAGGATGGGGGGAGGATGAGGCAGGGGTGCGAGGAGGACGGTGAGGACGACGAGGAGGAGGGGATGGGGACCCCGCGGAGGTCCCAAGAGGCCCCTCGAGGCTCCGAGGCTTTCTGCGGCTGGAAACGATCAAGCACACTCAAAAACCTGGGACCCTTGGAGGAGGATGAGGAGGAGCACGACAACGACGATGATGACGACGACGACAAGACGACGACGACGACGAGAAGGATCAGAAGCGGTTCGGTGGCATCTGGCAGCAGCAAGAACAGCAGGCTACGCCCTCCCATGCCCCTACAGATCAGTGTGGATGCGGATAGCGATCTCTCACGGTCCCAAGCTCCTCTGAGTCAAACTGGCCGCTGACGGCGTGCACGCCAAAGGGTATGACAGCATTGACCCAACACGTGCGCAAGAAGCAAGACGCCATGCGGCTACGGACGGGAACTTTTGCTTAGCGCGTCGAGGCGGCGGGCGCCAGTGACAGACACATTATGCCATGCGAGCGTACAGCGTGTCGCCCAGCTCTGCGGGGCGGGAGGCTGGGACAAGCTCGGGACATGGACGCTTGGGGGCTGGGAAGTGGTCAGCGTGTCGCGCCGAAGAGTGATGTGCCAGAACCGGCGGCGCGACATGCTAAGCAACTGTTCCTGACTGTATCCCCGATCCTCGTCGTTTTGTGTTAGGCTCGTAACTCGGCCTCTGGCTGCCGATCGGGATGATCCGAGCACCCCCAGAAAGCTCACGGCGAGGCGCAGCTACTGGAGAGCATCCCGGGGCTGGAAGTCCGCCGAGATCCCACGGAAACGCCGCAGATCCCCAGCCTCGGACCTCGAGCTTCAGACCTGGAACGCCCCTGACCGTACCTGGGGAAATCGCCACAACGAATCGGCAAACCATCGGCTACACGCAAGAGTGACCCGGGGTAGGAGTGACCGTGGATGCGCGGCTTGTTGGGGGCCGTGGGGGGGCCAAACACAAGCGCGCGAGACGCCACTGGAGCCTCGCGCTCGGCGAGCAGCGGACCCCGGTGGGCCCGCACCAAAGGTCACTCCAGCGAAGGGCCACTCTGGCCCAGACATGCGACGTCCTGATTTTTTCAGGACGGCGTCCCTGGAAGTCCCGACCCTTTCCCGGGAACCGGTTCTTCGTCCTGAGTCGTTCCTCGACGGTCAAGAGGCCCCGCGAGGGCCTCCCGGGGCCGAAAATAGCCACAAGCCTCCCGTCCTGATATGTTTACGACGCGACCGTGTCTGGGCACGCGTCGTCGACAACGTCACGGCAGCGCAGGCCGGGCTCCTCTGGCTCCTCCGCAGCGAGGCCGGCCTCCTCCGCGGGCTGCGGGCCGGCCACGGCCGCGGCCGCCATGGCTCCGGCTGCCCCCGCGGCCCCTGCAGGGCCCTGGTCGTTGTCGTCGTCGTCGTCGTCGTCGTCGTCGCCGTCGCCGTCGTCGTCGTCGTCGTCGTCGTCGTCGTCGTCGTCGTCGTCGTCGTCGTCGTCGTCGTTGTCGTCGTCCTGGTGGTCGTCTTCGTCGTCGCTGTCACCATCGCCGTAGCCTTCGTCGTCATCGTCATGATCGTCGTGGTGGTCGTCGTCGTCGTCGTGGCCTTCGCCATCGCCGTGGCCGTCGTGGCCGTCGCCATGGCCGTGGCCGTGGCCGTCGTCGTCGTCGTGGTGGTGATCGTCGTCGTCGTCGCCGCCACCGCCATCGCCGCGGCCGTGGTCGAATCGATGGCCGAGGTTCGCGGCCTCTGGGCGCTACTTGGGGTCTTCTAGGACCTTTGGGGGCGTCGACGCCACGACTGGATCTGCCTCGAGCTTCTGCTTCGGAAACGCGCCCCAGGATAGTTCCTAGGGTCGTCGGCGTCGTCGTCGGCGTCGACATCGTCCTCGTTATTGTCGTCATCTTCGTCGCCTTCGTCGTCTCCACTGCGTTTGCCTTCGTCATCGTCCGTGTTGCCGTCTTCGTCGCCACTGTCGTGATCGTCGTCGTCCTCCTCACACTGGTAGCGAGCAGAATAATCACCCTCATAATGAGTACGCCGACAAGCGAAGACGTTTAGTAAACGCGTTCAGGGAAAGAATCGAGCAGGAAGGGGCTGTTCAGTACACGCCCAAAGCCGTTTCGCGAACGCCATGCATGGATGTCGGGGCGGCTTTTCCGCCCATGGTTTAGGCCGGCCATGTCCCCCCACAGACGGATTTTGGACGACAAATGTAGAAAAGATACCTCCAGAATTTTCTGAATGTTCTGAACTAGTCGACAAATCGTCCCCGCAATATTTCTGCACCATGTCTGGAGATCCCTCCCGTGGAGGGACGGGCCCGACCCGACCCTTGATCCGAGGGCCCTCCCGCGCGTGGCCCCGCACGGCGCGGGCTGGCGGGGTCCCGAGAGGCAGGCAGGGGGGCCGGCCGGGCTGCTGGGCGCTCGCCTGGGGCCTCGGCAGGCCCGCTGGCTTCGAGGGGCCCCTTCCGGCGGGCCTGCAGAGGACGGCCCACGCTCGCGGAACTGGTCACAGACAGGATCGCGTCGTAACAAAAAATCAGGACGGGAGGTTTGTGACGGTTTTCGGCCCTGGGGGGCCCTCGCCGGGCCTCGGGACCGTCAAGAAACGATCCAGGACGAAAAACCGGTCCCGGGGGAAGGGTCGGGACTTCCAGGGACGCTGTCCTGAAAAAATCAAGAACTCGCATGTCTGGGGTGCGAACGCTGGTGCTCAGAGCTCCTGGGCTCTGAATCCGCCGCGATGCCACGCAAGGGCCCCTCGCGGAGGTAAAAGGCCGAGCCGATCGACGCTGCGGTCTGGGATGACGACGACGACGACCACGACGCTCCGCGCGCCGGGGAGGGGGGTCCAGCGCAGATCCGAGAACTCCGCGCGGACCTCCGAATTTGTATGTTTTTGTCACTTGTTGTTCCCCTATCTCACCCTCCTTCCTGGGTCGCAGCAGCCATGACCTCCGCTCACGGCCAGCCTTCAGTCGGGCCTGTCCCCCCTACAGGGGGAGTCTGGAGGAAAAATGAGAAATAGTAAGAAATTATCCCAGTGCGACCCTACATAGGAGTTGGAGCCCCTAGGAAAGCAGCATTAGTACGAACAGTAAAGCTAAAGCTAAGCTAAAGCTAGGTTAAAACTAAACTAAAGCTAAGCTGGAGCTAAGATAAAGCTAAGCTAAAGCTAAGCTAAAGCTAAGCTAAGCTCAAGGTAAGCTAAAGCTAAGATGAAGCTAAGCTAAAGCTAAGCTAAAGCTAAGCTAAGGCTAAGCTAAGGCTAAGCTACCGCTAAGCTAAACCTGAGCTAAAGCTAAGGTGCAGATAAGCTAAAGCTAAGCTAAAGCTAAGCTAAAGCTACGGTAAAGGCTAAGCTAAAGCTAAGCTAAAGCTAAGCTAAAGCTAAGCTAAAACTACGGTAAAGGCTAAGCTAAAGCTAAGCTAAAACTAAGCTAAAGCTAAGCTAAAGCCAAGCTAAAGCTAAGGTGCAGCTAAGCTAAAGCCAAGCTAAAGCTAAGCTACAGCTAAGCTAAAGCTAAGGTACAGCTAAGGTAAAGCTAAGCTAAAGCTAAGCTAAAGCTAAGCTGAAGCTAAGCTGAAGCTAAGCTAAAGCTAAGCTGAAGCTAAGCTAAAGCTAAGCTAAAGCTAAAGCTAAAGCTAAGCTAAAGCTAAGCTAAAGCTAAGGTGCCGCTAAGCTAAAGCCAAGCTAAAGCTAAGCTAAAGCTAAGCTACAGCTAAGCTGAAGCTAAGCTGAAGCTAAGCTGAAGCTAAGCTAAAGCTAAGCTAAAGCTAAGCTACAGCTAAGCTAAAGCTAAGCTAAAGCTAAAGCTAAAGCTAAAGCTCTCAGGGGACTGGGGGAACCGCGGGGCGGGGACTGGGGGAACCGCCCGGGGCGATTTCCACTGCCCGGCCCTTTAAGCTAAGAGAGTAAGAACCCTTCTAGGCAGAGCCTATGTAGGGAACGATTCCAAAATGGTCAAAAAATACTCAGAAAAGAGTCCCCAAACATTTTTTGGTCAAAACAAATTCTCAGGTAAATATTCAACAATTTCAAAATAGTCAGACATACTCCAGAAATGGTCAAACACTATTCCAAACAGATGCAGAACAAATACGCAGAAAACTACTCCAAAATGGTCAACAAATAATTTAAAAAACAGCCCCCTGGCTATTTTTTCACTATTGGCACACCTCCCCTGCAGAGGGACGGGCCCGACTCCAGGCCAGCCGTGCACGGCGCTGGGGGCACCTGCGGCCTCCGGGAAGAGCGCCCCGCCGGCCGCTCGCGAGCCTCCCGCGCCCCGCCGGCCGCTCGCCGCTCCCCGTCCTCGAGCTCCCCGCGCCCCACGCATTGCCAGCCTCGAGCGTGTCCCTTTCCTGCTTCCTCCTCCTCCTGCTTACTCCTCCTCCTCCTCCTCCTCCTCCTCCTCCTCCCTCACCTCCATCCCCTTCCTGCTCCCAGGGGCCCACCGCTGGCGCACGGGCGGTGCAGCCCTCCGCCGTCGCCGTGGCGGAATCTACGACGGCTGGCCACGCAGAAAAGCACGGTGCTTGTTACCAGCCTCGAACGTATCCCTATCCCTAAGATTGACACGCCAGAAGGCGAGGACAATCTTGGGGATGCGCCCTCCCATAATACGGGAATCCCTAATCGATTGGCATCGTGATGAGGAGGTGCCCAGCATAGGGATAGGGATATGTTCCAGGCTGGTAACGGCACCCCGCGCCCTGCACCGCGGGGCGCCGAGCTGCAGAAGGTAATTAGCCAACGCTTGCCTGGCGTGGCCGTCATTGTAGACTGGGCGCCGGCCCCTCGCATGTCGGGGCACCGATCGTGCCGAACTGCGTGCTCTGCAAGGGGTGCGGTGTGCATCGCCGCCCCGCCTGCAGTCCTCAACGCTGACACCAGTGCGGTGAGCAGGAGAGTCATCGCGTGACGTCGTCAAGGGTGATGTTCGCAAGAAGCTGCGCGCGCCGAACTGCCTACCATCATCGCGCTACCAACAGGAGAGCTGGAGAAAGAGCGAACGGGCCTCTCCGGGCCACGGCGAGCCTCTGGCAAGGACAAGGCGCGCCCCACCGCTGCTCAGCGGGAGGTGGCGCGGCCAAATAGCGTCGCAGGCAGCGAGCTTGCCGGCGACTGGGCCAAGCATGCTGCCCGCCGGGGTCGGCTACACGCAAGAGTGACCCTAGGCAAGAGTGACCTTCAGTGCGCGGACCAACGGGGCGCGAGGCGGCCGATTCCAAGCGCGCAAGCAGACACTATCGCATCGCGCTCAGCGATCGGGGGGACCCTGGTGAGCCCGCACCCAGGGTTACTCCGGCGAAGGGTCACTCTTATACGTGTAGTCGGCAAGGGCATGCTCCGCCCGAGTGCCGGTCGAAGCACGCAGGCGGTGGACAAACGGGCGGTTGCCGTTGTGCGGCAGGCGGCGCCAGCAGCTGACCTCAGCCGGACAGGCGCGGCAGGGCCCCCTTTCATCAGGTCACTCGTCGCGTAGGCTGCCAAGGCCAGGTGGCTAAAAAAGCACATCTGCGTAGACATAAACTTGCGGAGAGCCGTGGAGATTTGTGAATGGGTGCTCGCCCCCCTCCCTGGCGCGCGGCGCGCGCCAGGGGCGGCGCCAGAGGCGCCGCCAGGACGGGCCGCGGACCCGAGAGATCCGTGCGAGGCTCTGGAGGATTTATGTTTGAGCAGAGGTTTCTTCCTCGGATGATGGGTGGTGTTTGCCTGAGATGACGGTAGGCACATACGATAAAGAATCTCGACGCAAGAGATATGACTTCGCACCCGTCATCGACTCTGAGCTTCGCAGTGTGCACGTGGGCGAGGCGGGCCCGAATGGAGAGTACGCGTGTATGTGGTGGGGCGCAGGTTTAGGGGAACAGAAAATGACATAAACATAAAACTTTGAGGTCCGTACGGACTTCTTGGATCCGAAAAATCCGCGCGGACCTCCGTTTGTTATGTTTATGTAATTTTCGTTCCCCTAAAGTTGGCAGGTCAGTTTCATATTTGGCGTGTCCGCTGTTCCACCACTCGGCGGAGGAGGAGGAAGAGGAGGAGGAGGAGGAGGAGGAGGAGGAGGAGGAGGAGCAGGAGGAGGAGAAAGAGGAGAAAGAGGAGAAGGATGAGGATGAGGACGAGGATGAGGATGATGTTAAGGAGGAGGAGGAGGAGGAGGAGGAGGAGGAGGAGGAGGAGGAGGAGGAGGAGCCCCAAGGTCGCCGCCGCCTGCGCCCTCCCACCAGGGGTGGGCAGTGTGCCTGCGCAGCGCTGCACCGGGAGGGAGCTTCGCTTTGCCGCGGCGAGTGGACCCTCGTCTCGTTGGCACTCCGCGGGAGGTGCCGCAGATCTCTTGGGGAGCTGGGACCCCAGATCTCTGACGATATGACTTCTTCAATT